CCCCCCCCCCCCCCCTGTTTACAAGAACGAACATCAAAATGTCCTGGCCCAGCGATCATGAACAAAAAAGAGAATACGTGCAGTTTCTGCTATACGCCCATTCATAGGAGGATTTCGCGATAAAGAGTAATGTGATGGGGTGTGACTGTATTACGCGGTCAGAACGCTCTGTGACCGCACGCGTCATCAAATGGTCATCACAATCGATATGCAGTGGAACTGTAAGACGCAGAATAGAGAAAAATTCGTTCTTCAAAGCAAAAATATAGAGTAAAAATTCGGAGGTCTCGCGCACTGCATTCTATACATGAACATAATGTTCGGAGCTCCAAGCGAATTTCTAAATAATCACCATTTAGACGAAAATCTAATTAAAAAGAACCTTTTCATCGTGATCCCGTTTTCGATTAATGTATTGTGATCCAGTAGTTGCAACACAATATGTCAGTAGTAGTGAGTATGTCGACAAGATGAGAACTTCAATCGGATGTTGATTCAGTAATGGTAGAACGCACAAATGACCGATGATTGCACTCCAGGCAAGTGCACCAATCAGCAATGGCCAGTAGATTTTTGTCGAATGAGACCAAAATTGTGTCTGAAAGAACGGTTTGATTATTCGAATGAAATAGGGCCTAAACAATGGCAATCTACTATGCAGGACTCGTGTTTCACTGCCGTATGCCAGTCAAACGAGCCTATTCTCTGACCATGAGCCACCTACAGCGCTGCGTGCCACCCTATTCGTACTGACACCCTTTCCTGTTTTTATAGGGTCTACAAGTGCCACTTGAGAACTGTCATAAAGATCTCTACACTTTCCACTGAGCATCCCTAAAACTTTCCTCTCTGGACACCCATGAGAGTGCCGTGACACGGGTTCGTGCCTGTGTAAATAGGATTAAAACAAGCCCTTAGAACAAATAAACTACCATGACGAACTGATAAGTTTAAGATTCGCTGGCAGCTGATTGATTCACACAAATCTTTGCAGAAAAAATGCGTGAAATCATGGAAATTTGATCTCCGTATCGATTTTCGCTAGATAATCACTGGCATGGGTCGCTTTGGGTGTTATCCGATGACGCATGACCGATGACGCATGAATGATACGATACCAATTACGCTTTCCGCAAGTTATAGGCCATTTCTACATGTGGATGGGATGGTTTTCCATACCAGTTTAGGAAAACTAACGTGATTGCCCAAAAGCGGATCAGTACAAGTAGGCTTAACTCTTTCCCCAACCTTCTTTTTGGCTCAACAACTTTACGAAATGCATCATTTCAGGGCAGCTCTGAGTGCAGCTTTAAATGAGTTCTGAAAGTGCCTATCATAAAAATCTCACAATCAGATTGACTTCAGAGAATGATTACCTTGTAAAAAAGATGTCCAATCCCGAATGCAACCGCGCCAGTTATGATTCCTCCTTCACTCAAGCCAATAAGTACGTCGCCAATTCCACCGAAAAACAGCCCTAACGCGCACATCATACGATCCCTCTTCGAAAGACCTCCGCCATGAACAGCTGCGAACACAGTGAGGAACACTATCGGTATTACTTTCCTGGAAATAGCAACATTCTAAACAGTTTGCCAACCATGTAAAGAAAATTTGTGTGAGCACTTACCATACTGCATAGAGTGTGTTGTAGTACTTCACAAAACCGTTTGACTCATTATAGAAATTCGCCACCAGTAAAAAATACACAACCCCAACAGCTGCTAGCACTGATTGCATTTTTTTCCTAAATGTTTTACAAAATAAAGTAAAATCAAAACCTCAATCGGTGAAGCAAATAAACGTTTCATGGTTTCTGCTCAAGCGGGTCTACATTATTCGCTCAAGCAATAAAGATAAGAAAAATTGGCCAGCGATAAGTCGAACGCAAATTCGTCATCAAAGTGGCGCACAAATGCCAGAAAATAGGCCCAAAAAGAGTTTATTACAAGAAAAATCGACTCACTCAGTACAAGCAGTATGTGAGCGTTCCACAGTCCACAGAGCAGGGTGCTAAGCGTGTCGGGTCGGACTGATTAGACACCAAACTCACACAACAGGGTCACAGCAGTCAGTCAGTCAGTCAGTCAGTCAGTCGTAACAGGTAAGCGTCAGCACACGCAAATTCTCCTGCTACACTCTCTTAGATAAGCACTTGGTCCCGTTTGCTCAACGACTGACTCGAGGTGGAAGCTGAAGGATGAAACGGTTATTGATAAAATTGTATTCAAGTAAAGCTAGTGGCATCGAATTTGAAGAGAAATAGTCAAAATTTTTACAAAAAAGGCTTAGAAGAAAGCATGGCCAAGTAATTAATATTAGTTATTTGATTTGTGAATTGGAATTGTCCCAAACCATACCTCTTACAACCAGTCGCTAACTCCGAGTACTCAAAGTTAATGAAATGAATCACACTTATAGATTTGTTATCACAAAACGTGTAAGATTTCAATTTTACACGGACATCTGTAGGACTGAAGGCCGCTCCAACCAGGTTTCTATGCATCACATAAGCTCTGGTCTCAATCGGAGGCTTAACCCACTCCTCACGACCGCACTGACCCCATTACTTGTTAGTTTACTTTCCCAGCCTATAGCTGTAAATACAAATGCCGGCGATCCCCATTACGACTGCACACATCAACCTCGCCGATACAGCTCCACCCACAACGGAAGCTCCGCCCTCCAACAATCACACTCGTCTAACTGAGCCACTTGCTTCTTACTCTTTGTACTCTTTGGGGGGGGGGGGGGGGGGGGGGGCGAGATTATAGACTTTGATTCCTTGGAGGAGTATCTCTTATCCGTCCGAAGCCCTAAAAAATTGAAAAAGCAAGTTTTCTTCCGGGCAATGAAAAATGTATGTCAGGCTTACATTTTGGACAGCAGATAAATGATTTTAGAATGATTTGATTTTTTTCTCATATGAAAGTTAGGCTTGGGAATATGGGTAGATGGGTAGAAAGCTCTCACGAGAATGCTCGTTGAAAACTTAGACAAAAACATCACATTTTGGAGCTCCATAGCAACATGCTGACATGTGTGGTCGCCTAGAGCGGATGAGTTACTACTCCAGTCCAGCTCAAAACCTTACGAGGTGGAAAGCAAGAAGAAAAGACTGAGAAAAGATCAGAGCTTCTGACATAGGGCCATATTGGGAAAACGACGAAGAAGATCCTAACGTGTAGAGTACAGCAAACTCGACGCGTTGTTGACAGCGGCCATGTCAGCTGCGAGCCAACTGGAGCCAGACTACTCTTTAAGAACTAGGCGGATAATTGACGGACTCTCGTTACTCCTCCTCTCAAATCTCAAGGCCAGACGATTTGGACGGCTTATGACCATGAAAACAGCTCCTACTTAAACCGCGCTTGACGAAATGAGGCAACGAATGGTCTGTGGTAAAAATACGCGACAATGATGGTCTATTCCCACGTTTCCTTAACAGATTTCGCTGCCAAGAAAAGTTTAATGTAGTTATACAATTACACTCGCCCTATTGTGAAGGGCATCATTCACACATGGTTCGACAAATGAATTCTGAAGTTAACTTAAATCGATGCTTACCGTTAGGCCACAATCCCGAAGAACTTCAACTTACACGGATGTTAAGGGCAATCGTAATCAATTAGAAAAGGTCCTGGATCTCCGGTTCTTTAGCAAATGAACAACTAACTAGACAAGAGATTAGCAGGCACGGACGATTCAAGAACTCGTTTATATATAGTAAGATTTTGCCGCTGATAAGAGTACGTATTATCATTTGTTTTCTAACAATTCGAGAACTGTCGACTACAACTCAGAGAGTATAGCACTAGAATTTTGGAGCGGAATGAACAGTGGTTCTCCTGCTATCCCTTTAAGCACTACTTCAATTCCCCTTGCAGGGCTAATACAGGTTTCAACTACAATTATCCCTTCCTATCTTCCCCATCTTACGAATATGAGGGCGAGTTGATTGGCAGGCAGCTGATTTCCAAGAAATAGGATTTTTTACTGGTCTGGTTGGAATGTTATGCGTGAATGTGCAATCAATTAGCGATGACTCCTGTTGTTGCACCACTCCTTAGGTAGTAATGAAGCAAATGTGTAAACAAAGTTAGGTGTAGTTTGTACGTGTATTCAGTGTACCAGCAATCAATTCCCTCTGAAAGATCAGTTACTAGCAAAGAACATGATAGAGAAGGCCAGAAATCGGTCAGCATACCAAGGCAAGGTTGGGCCGCTCCTACCACCGGTATGGCAATGAAAAAAAATCACCTTGATGCTCAACAGGTTCCCCAATACGACAGGCAGCCCGAGAGGAGTACAGTGATACCACATTCGACTAGATGGGTAGTACTTGACTCGTAATACGACGGCCAAGTAAAATACCACATAAGCCAAATGAGCGTGAAAATTCGGAGGCAGATACTGCAGTTTTTGACAGTAATTTGAATATGCGCTGATTATGTTGCACTCCTTGAAGCTACAAGAACCAAAAACGCCTGTGTAGCAGCTATAGCCAAGGAGCACAGTAAAAAACATCCAAGATTTGTGTGAAATCAAAGATAAATCAAAGACGGTGAGAACGAAGACCTTCAGGAGTTGTAGTAGGGACCTTTCAAAAATTACAATCAACAAAACAACAACTCAAGTAATTAATGAACACTTGGATTATTATTAAAGCTTGCACTATCC